ATTAATTATAATTAAATATTATTAAATAATATTATGTTATTATAATATTAAATACTTTCTTGTCGACATCGTGCCGAGTGAGATAGAAATAGCACTGTTTTCTGTAGGAAATACAGTTTATTTGCTGCAAGACTGGGCAGTTCAGACCCCCTTCCAACATGGGCTAGTCTGGATGAGCTGCAGGTCAACAATTTGGGGTGACACCACTGCTTCCTGCAGGGCGTTAACTCTGGAACTTAATGATCATGCAGGACAATGCTAAGTGTGTCCTCTTAGGGTGGTGATCAAGCTGTCCCAGTTGTCTCAAGGCAGTGAAGCCAAGTGTCTTGCCAGGGCTTGCGGGGGGCCAAGGACCAGTTTGGGGAAGAGGGCACTGGGGTCCCACTCCTCGGACATGAGCTTTCCAGGGAGGCCTCCCCTCTCACATCTGCCTTTCTCCGGTCACAGAGAAAATCACTGATCGCCTTGGAAAAAGAAGACGAGGAGGAGAGAAATAAAACAATCGAAAGTTTGAAGACTGCACTGAGGACGAAACCAATGAGGCAATTCCCTTCTGTTTGCTGGCTTGATTGCCGTGGTCATGGCTTTGGATTTGGGTTCTCTGGCAGAGCGGGGGGTTAAACTCAAATATAAATGGGGGCTGCACAGGATGAGGGAGGCAGGGACCCTGAAAGAGCGCTTGCTTTTTTCGATTCGCCTCTTGTCATTTTGTTCCTTTTCCTCAGTCCTTTTGGTGGCCGAGGGCCACCAGGACCTTCACATCTGTTCAGCCAAATCAGCCAACTTCTGGTTTTTTCAAATTTACTTCTGTTCTCATTGGAACAGAATGTAAAAATACCTTTCAGATTTAATTAAAAAAAGAAGAAAATCAAATTTTTGTTGGTCAACCAGGCCTTTTGTTTCAACTTCAACTTCTCTTGCACTTTTTAAAGGAACAAAATCACATGAATATTCACGCTTTTATGAAATGCAAAAAAAAAAATGTTGCTAGGAGGTTTTGATGGGGAGGATAAAGAACGGGTGGGACTCTTTCTGAATGTCTGTGGTTTTTTCCAAAATTCAGTTTCTCTGGAGTCTGCCTGCATACATCTGCAAAACCTTTAAGATGCCTCAGGTCAACATTTTCTGATGGGAAAATGTTTCATTAAGTAATGCATGACCTGGTCTAGTTATGGAAAAAACAAATTTGCTGTTGCTTGCAAATACATTCCCCTCTTCCATTTCTCTTTTGCAATGGTTCTGGCAATGGTACTTGGTAAAAAATTCCCAGGATTGAGGCTGAGCATCTGATTTCTGTGAAACCTGGACCTCTTGGGTGCCGGCTCCCCACTGTGCCCTGGGAGCAGGGCTGATACCCAGCCACGAAACTTTACTAAGTCCTTAAGAGTGGTTTGCAAGTCTGTCTCACTGCGAGTCACAAGGATCCAGCAGGCTCCGTAGAAAATTTTACGTGTTCGACCTGCTTTTGCTCCCAGGGCAGTGAACATCGGATTTCCTATTGACCTTGGCTGGAAGAAGAGCAGGCTTTGAAGCAGAGAAATCAGTTTTCCCCAAGCCTGCAATTACCCCTTTTGTTGCTGCGCATCAGCATGGCTTGTTTCAAATTAAAATCATCCCAGTGCCGGGATGTTCTTGGCTCGTTTGCTTTCCGAGCCCGTCCCTTTGGCCAAACCAGAATGCACCCAGCCTGGATGGCATCGGTCAGGGAGGTCCTGAAACGCCTGAGCAGCGGGCGGTGTTGTGTCTGCCTGCTCTTGTGAAGCTGCCTGGGGCAAAGCCGTGTGTTTGCTGTCTGCTTTCTGTTCAGTGGCGTTATAAGTCATCATAAAAATTAGAAACCCCTTAAAATTGGTGAGCCGTGCCTAAGAGAGGAGAGGGATGTGGGTGGTGAGGCAGGGGAGGTGGCAGGAGGCAGAAAGTCTGGCAGGCGTCGTGGACGTGGGCTTGGCTGACGTTGGGGTGTCTGCGATTGACGAGGAGGCATCTGCGGGGCTTGGGAGCTTCTTCCAGTCCTGTGCAAAACTGGTCCCAAGTGAGTGGGATTTAAGACTCAGGTTGGGGACTGGGAAGGTTTTGAAGCAGCGTGGCTGCGAACTCCTACCGTCCATCCTGGGGCTTGCACTGGTGGCTGGGTTAGCTGGTCCTCTTCCAAGTATCCTAGCTCTGGACAACCTTGTGCTGATGATGCCTGGTTGCCTCTGCTACCGGGCACTGATTAAATTGCTAAGATTTTTGCAACCTCGTCCCTGTGCTCTAAGCCTGCAGGCTTTCTGCTATCCAAAGTTCAGGAAAAAATAGATAAGAAGGTTCTGGGTTTGCAACAACAGCCAAATCAGCCCTGTTTGAGATTAAAAGGGTCCTTCAGTGTTTGATTTTAAAGCTAAAAAGGCTCTTTCTGACAGGTTTGTAACCCGGTTCATCGACCTGGATGGCTTGTCGTGTATTCTGAACTTTCTCAAAAGCATGGACTATGAGACGGCAGAGTCTCGAATACATACCTCGCTCATTGGATGTATAAAAGCACTAATGAACAACTCCCTGGGCCGGGCTCACGTCCTGGCCCATTCAGAGAGTATTAACGTAATCGCTCAGAGTCTGAGCACGGAGAATATTAAGACGAAGGTGGCAGTGCTGGAAATCATGGGCGCTGTGTGCCTGGTTCCCGGGGGCCACAAAAAGGTACTGGAGGCGATGCTGCACTACCAGAAATACGCCAGCGAACGGACTCGTTTTCAGGTAGGTGCATCTTGTCTCAGCCCTCAGCTCCCAAAATTCAGCGTTCTTGTCCTTTCCTGCTCCTGGATATCTAACTGCCACTTGCAAATGATATATTATGGCCGTTTGCAACTTAGGTGCTTGGGGAATTACCGCAGAACCATGTCTGATGAGGTCTGCAGCTGAGCAAAGAGTGAGGAACCAGTTATTTAAGGCAGCATCCCGATGAAAAAAAATGCTTGGTTGTGCAGGGTGGCTGGGATCACAGCTCTGCAAGGCTGTAGCACATCTGGATGGGCTGATGTTAGCCAAAACGGGTGCTGAGGTGGGCTGCGTAACAGCAGGCAGCAGCTGATGATCCATCACCAGTGGGTGCTGTAGGAGCATCACGAGGATGCTGTAGGAGCTCCTGCGTGCGTTCCCCTGGCTGTTTGTGCAGTGTTGGTGCTGTCGCTGGGCATTTAACTGACGTTGTGTGTTTGGCAGACGCTGATCAATGACTTGGACAAGAGCACAGGGCGGTATCGGGATGAAGTGAGCCTCAAGACAGCCATCATGTCCTTCATCAACGCAGTCCTGAGCCAGGGGGCAGGCGTGGTGAGCGCCGGGGCTCTTGGGGAGGGTGGGTTTGGGGTGAGCTTATTTCAGTAAGCTTTTTGAGCATGTGCTCCTTGCTGTGTTGACCCCACAACTGTCCCTTGCAGGAAAGCCTGGATTTCAGACTCCATCTGAGATATGAATTTCTCATGCTCGGGATCCAGCCAGTCATTGATAAACTAAGAGAGCATGAAAATTCAACCCTTGACCGGTGAGTAGTGACCACCAGCCCACTGGTTATTTTTGCCCATGCCTTGCACCCTTGCTTTCTGGTTTCTGGACTTGGCCTTCAGAGAAAGCATGTGGGTCTAGACTCGCCCCTCTTGAGGAAATTCTTTGCTGTCGCCAGAGAGGGAGGGAAAAACCCCGACGTGGTTTTGCTGTGCTCTAATGTAGGGTTGAGCCGGGAAGGATGTGATCATCAGGGTCCTGGGGGATGCTGCCAGCCCTCCTCCTCCTCTTCTCATCCCAAAAGGCTTGTTGGACAGGCTGTAATGACTGGGAGCTCGAGACTGAAGATCCAGTTGATGTTTCACGTCCCGCTCATCTCTGGGCCGCTGCCAGGCTGGCTGCCTGCAATTTGTTCATTGTTGCATTCGTATCTGCTTTTAACAGTCTGGTTTTTTTCCCCCCTTTCTTTCATCAGGCACTTAGATTTTTTTGAAATGCTTAGAAATGAGGATGAGCTGGAATTTGCCAAAAGATTTGAGCTGGTGAGTATCAGTGTTGCTGATGCAGATGCTGGCAGTTGGTGTCATGGTTGCTTTTAAAGGCACCTGTGTCGCCTGGGATGAAATGTGGTCTTTTGGATAAAATTTGGAGGTTGGAAATCTGTCTCCTGTCGCCCTGCTCTGTTGCAACCTCCGTCCTACAGCCTGGTACCTCGCTCCTCTCCTCAGGCTGCCGACCAGCACTGTTTTCCCCTTGCAGGGCAGTGGGGCT